GCGATTGACGGAGTTAGACCAGAAAGCTGCTCTTGCAGGTGTTCAAACTGTGCTGCAACAGAGAAGTGGAAACCTAGCGATAACGCTCCAATTTGGAGGCGACTAAGCAGTAAGTTGGACAAGTTCACCACGTATTTCTGCGGGTTAAGTGGAAGTTGGTCATATAGACGCTCGGCAGAGTCCAAAATTTGCTGTCTTGTTGACAATTTCGTTTTGATCTGAAGCTCTTGCAGGAAGTTATAAAATTTCGTGGGATAAACAAGATTGAGACTATTCAAGTGAGGTTCAACACATCCAAAACTGGCTTTCAGCTGTGTGATACGATGCACAGAAGCCTCAATCTGAAGCTTCGTGTATCGTCATAAATTCCGAGAGTTAACGTGCAGATGAGCATTCCGCAGTGCTTTGCAAAACCGACGCGGATACATGGACACCCTTATGCATTTAGTATAAGCATCAATACGTGCGGCTTCCCGCGAAATGGAACACCACTTTATCTAGGGAGCGAAACTTATCAAGAGGGAGGCTTTTCTTTAAAAATTTTCACTCCTTTATTCGTTCCACGATTTGTCTGTAAGCGGCTGAATGAAAAGACACGAAATAATCTGAACTCAGGTTATCCCGTAAAAGCTTGTTCGTTCTTGCTCTCATAAAACATCTGATTACTACTGGGCATCAGATTCGGATAGATGACGGATTCAAGGTGGTCTACACTGTGTCGAGACGCGTTCCCACAGGACTCAGAAAACGACTGCTGGCCACTGCCGAAACAATGGCGATTAGGCTACTACAATCTAAGTTATACAAGCAAAGGACGCTAATACAAGCTCTCATTTTGCCCTGTCCGTGACCAAGATTCTCTCCGTATTTGACAGAACTGCCGGCCCAACTGTGAGTTTTGTTCCTCATCACTCACTGCGTTTTTGCCCTCACTGTTTGTCTATTTGTATGCGCGAGACGCGGTGTCGTAACTCCTACCACCTGACTTCAGTGACATAACTATCGATTGGCCCCAATGACCCTATTTAAATTGCCATCTAACCACTATCACTAGAGCTCTAGTTAGCATCCGCATTTGGTTAATGTCCTTCATAAATATAAATGTCTGACGAGAATTATCGAAGAGAGATATCACTTCGCAAATTTCCCTCTTATGTCAAATATAGTTACGAGTGCGATATAGAAGCAAATGTTGGTAGCTCAGGTTGTTTAGTTGATTGGCTGATTGTTCGCTGAGCTCGAGTAGAGACCCGCTGGCAGTAAATGAGATTTTGTAGGCGAAGGAGTAAAATTTATGATAGCGTAAAAAGGGGGAGCACTGGTGTCGGGTAGCGCTCTGGAGAGTAACAATGACAGAAAATATCATTCATGGACAGTAGTTATTTAAACTGTACGTAAATTTGAAACGCTACTTCATTGTAAGCGATATTCACCGGCTAGTTTCCTTCGTTCAACTTATTTTATCTGCCAACGTTCGTCGGTCCGTTTCGTTTTGCTCGGTCCAATCCACACATGCCCACGTTGGGGCCACATTAAACTCTGTTCATTTCGCATCGTCTATCCGGCCTGTGTAACTATTGTTAGCTGATGTGGTGGCGCTTGACTGGTTTGGGTCCCTTTGCTCAAACCACCAATCTCCGTCATAACGAGTAATGTTGAACAGGAGATACAAATGCCATTCGTAATTTGCGTGTTTGGTTTTCTAAAGGGAAAATAACTAATAATTTCATACCTTTCTGTCAAACGTTAAAGCGTCCTATCTGGAAGCAGAGGAGCAGTATGGAGGTGTCGATGCGGTGGAAAGGAAGAATTCACTTGTATGCAATGCGTGGGAGTGGATATTGGGAACAGATATGGAGGACCGTTGGGATGGAAATCAGCTGGTGGACACCGCGAAACTGTGATGAGAGAGGTGTCTTGTCCGGATAGAGTAAACAAAAATGGGCGAAAACGAGCGTCTCTCACGAACAGAGAGCGAGCATGAGTAGGCTGTGTGTCGTCTCACAACAAAGAGAATGTTTAACAGATGATTCAGTTAAAAGTCACCATGTATTGTATATAGTCCAACCTGCTATGGTGACCAGCCAAAAACATCCCCAACGTTTTCTACTATGTGTAATGTCTCTACGCATGAATCTGTCTATGGTGACCACCTGCCGAAAGCGGCCACTTTTGTCGGTCCCATAAGTGGTCGCCTTAGACAGGCTTGACTGTATAAGTCAAATCTTTCGATAGGTGCCTGAAATAAAGGCTAAGCAAAGTATACGAGCGTTGAGACAGCATTCAAGTGATAGGCTACTGAGATCTACATGAGATCAACAAACTACGCCTCGTAAAGTTGTTCAGTACGGGATTTAAAGTACAGAACAGTATTCAGGAGAAATGTAGCTTGATGCGCAAACGCTGCTATCAAACACAAGGTTACCCAGAAGAAAATATGTTAAGAACAGCCTTGTCCAAGTAGAAATTAAGTGAGCTAAAAATCCGGTATAAGTGCAACGACACATGTGGGGAATAATAAGAAAAAAGGTGGCATAGAGAAGCCCAGAAGCAATAACACTGTAGGCACCAGCTTTAAATCACAAGAAAAACTCATTTAAGTCATAATGGCTAACGGTCTCTGTGACCCAAAGGGTAAGTTCAAAACTTAGTAGGCCTGGAAGTTATCCGTTACTTACTACGTTGTTCGTTTGAACTAAGTTCATCACCTGTAAACTAAGAATTTGGAATCACGGAGTGGTTGGGTGTATGCTCATAACCACGGTAAAAATTCAAATGGGCTCACGTTCGACTACGAGAGTAGGTGTGAATGGAAAGTCACAGAAGAGGCTAACCAATTCGAATCGCCTATGAGGGGGGGTGGTGGTAACTTTTGCGTTCGTGTAACGTGGATCAAACGTTTGATTAAAGTTGTAGGGAGTGGCACAACAAAATTCATGCGGATGACGAATATGCGCAGTCGAACAAAAGGTGAAGGTCTACGACAGCGTTACTACATCGCGGGAACGGTTTGCGTGATAAGAACTGCCCAGTTCAAGTCTGCACTACAATTATTTCAAGTCTCCCGGTTCAGTGGGACGCTGAGTTGAGTTCCGCAGAGTTCGATGAAGTAAGTATGCCATTCAACTTTTGACCTAGACAAAATTTATGTGTATCCACACGACAATGCAGATACCAAAGAATATTAGAGCGCGGACGTAAAAAGTACCGGCTTGAGACAGGTCCATGTGTTCACACCTGGCACACGCGGAGGCTGAGTGCCAATTCCAGTTTAATCAAAACAAATTCGCGAGTTGTAAGACTAGTCCCATGTTACAAACGGACAATGTAAGTGAATGAATGTAGCGAGCAGATCGGTCGATTTATCGATCACCCGCGAGTGCAGCCAACACGTACCAGGCTAGTAGATTGGAGCACGTGCACCGAATAAGTCAATGTGCACTATGTGGGTTGCATAAAGCCATGGCACTGCTGAAGTCAGATGAGTGGACGTTAGAGCTACTGCAATATGTGCTCGTTTTGATACATTGACCATGATACCCCGTGTTCGGTAGACTTTAGATGGTGAGAAGGGACAGGTGGGATTAGGGAACGCCAGTGTATACAGTACGGTGAACATATGAAAACCAGCATCATGAGTAATGCCAAACGACACATGCCCTTTCGTTGAATAGAGGCACTGAATCAGTCGCAATGGAAGCAAGTACAAGTGCAAAGGGAGAAAAATCTCATCTATGCACACGCCAAGAAGAGGGCGAATAATGCGACCTTTGTAAAGGGCGGATTGGTGTAGTAACCTCACTCACTGGATGTGCCAGTGAAATGCGGGTGTACAACGACCACTGCATCACAGGACAACGACAATTTACGGAATGGTGTAAAAAACAACAGAACTAACGAATGAAAAACATATTGTCAATGTTACTGCGCTAAAGTAGGATGTGGATACTTAGAAGTAGTCGATGGGAAAGTAACCAAATTCACAATATACGTCGCACGAAGATTGATTGTTGGGCTTACGGTGAGGCTTCGCACTGCACCGGGTGAGCAGCCTGACTGAATCTAAATGTGAAGTTCTACTTGTGCCGTTCAAATCGCTGCACTGATCCTTTGCAATCAGTTGAGTTTCAAACTAAGGAGCATCACCTGAGACCCAATCACCGATTGAACCCAAAGTTTTGAAGCAAGTGTGGCATAAAACATTGGAAATCTTCAGCAGTTGTCTACCATATGGTCTGGAAGAAAGTAGCCGCTGGAAATATGATTAAGAAGCATTTATTTACACATCTGCGCAAAACTGCGCTCAAAGTGGATGTTCGAGCACTCAGTCTAGCAATAAAACCGCTCGTCTACGAGTCTACAGTCAGCAATTATTTTGCGGCTCATTTATCATCTAGGGACAGTCTGTGACAGTTCCAATCAGTGTGAGTACCTGACATATGACGCAACAAGCAGCAAGATTTTCAAGAATATCTAGGGAAATTGGATTCGTGTTTCTCAACTGTGAATAATTGTTGAATTCAACGTCTGCAATGGGCCGAGAACCGATAGATTCAACAAGAACTGACACATGTAGAGCTGAACTATTCGTGTGTCAGAAATGATGCGGAATGTTGTGGTTTGGAGACAGCACACACTACCGTCAGATTGGATAATGTGGTTAATCTGTAACCGGATGCAAGAGGACAACCGTTTGTCCCACCATGTGCACCATGATAGCAATAATAATAAAATAATGATGTACGCTGTAACGGCGCTTCGCTGCAGTGCGACCACCACCAATCGCATGCGGGCTGGTTATGCCGCGAGGACGCCCACGCCGATAGTAATAAATTGTGTTTGACATAAGCATGAGATAAAGATTTTTGGTAGTTCAGTGTACATGATTTTTCCACGAGTCAAAACGATCACTGTATGGAAATAACATGAGGATAAACAAATGAAGTGCAGGATGGTGTGCATGAGCATAACTAAACAAGGGTGCCATGTGGCCAACTTACCACAGCTTCGTTGTTTGGAAAAGTACATTCTTGACACGATAGAGTTAACTCAACATATGAATCGAATTGACTGTCATCGTCACAAACTCTAGCTATTCTGGGTTGCCATCGATAGAACTGCGGGGTTGCAGGTTGTTGGAGAACAAAGTAAATGTGAGCAGGCTTTGGTAATGGAATTTCGCTATCAAGATCATGTGTGCGATAGCGAAAGGCTAACTGGTACTGGATGCGAAACGTCTGCGGAACAGTGAGACGTAGGTAACTATTTGGTTCTTGGTGGGATTTCGCATATTGAAAATTGCGAAACCGAGCAGATAAGGGATGTGGTTTGATCAGGGTGTATTCTTGCAGTTCGCTGGATTCGGTTCCGACATAAACATACTTAGATCCCACGACTAACACAGTAAACGTACTGGGATCGTTGCCTGTGACAGGAATATCCTCGGGGTCGATGTGTTCCTCTTTATATAAGGAGCTTTTGAACATCCATGGGGCAGGCTCCCTCAAATCAGTTAACCTCCGACGCTCACAGAATCCATTGAAAAGACTATAACACAAGTACAAGGCATCCTCACAGGCGATTCGGTCATCGTTGACAATGGTAACGGGGGAAAAGTGGCGTGGAGCATGAGGGTTAGATACCCGTTGTACCTCCTCCTCAGGCACAGTGGAAGTCGCCCAAGCCTTAACAAAATTGTCTGTCAACCCGGGTACACAGGAGTCCGTTCCATGTCCTGTAGGTGGCACACTGGGTCCGAGATCAGCACACATGCAATTGTTACCGTCTTTAAAACAAAAGATGGAAAAGTTTCTCGGGCCAACAGTCTCTACCGCCTCGATATGCAATGTGTTCGAATCGAAATGGTAGATATGGTTAGTATCAGCGACGAAAACAAATTCTCTGGACGACGGGCCATGAAATCGATAGAGAACGCGTAAGTTCTTTCGATCGATTGCATCCGTAATTGGCGCAGAGTGAGTGACTTTCAGCTGAACACCAAGCGTAGGTTGAGGCAGCGTTATTGATATAAGAGCGGAAAAGTGCTGAAGCAGAAGTAAAATGCCTCCGAACATGTGCATAAGTTAGGTGGTCACTATTAAGGACTCATGCCAGCAGGATAATCAGGCACACAGAGGAGGAGATGAGGAAATGAACCACAACTGAAGAAGCAAGATGATGTAGTGTTACATGACGGATAGCATCAGACTCGCGGTGCCAGCGAGTACCTAAAGAATAAAAAGTAGAATGATCAGTTTTGTCACATACAGTAAAACGCAGAAACTTTCATAAGGAGGTAACCAATATGCATGAATACCGAAATGAACAATGTGCGTGCAAAAAGGAAACAGTCTGGCGCCGAAGTTGCAGGGCTGAACGGCGGGAAGATGGTTCTTGCCTTACATTCGTATCCGGTTCGTCCGAAAAATTGAGCTACGCAAAACGAGCAGCCGTGAGAAACAATGGGATTTGTCAACCCGGTGTAACGGAGACAGTGTGCAGGTAAGATCCACTAGATGGCCACAGAGTAAACACGCATCGGCCAGTGAATGGCGACTGGTAGATAAGAGCGAGATTGAATACTGATGCGTTGTGGTGATAAAAAGAGGATTATCTGCAACGTATGTGTACATACATGTGCAGCCATACTGATTCAGGCTGACTTCTCTATGCTTAATCCTCAGGGTAGTTGAATCACAAGAGGAGATGCGCTCTTCTTGTTTTGGCACTATAGAAATGTGTAAGTGTTTTCGTTATGGTCACGCGGAATGAAGAAGGAACGGATGAACCCCTTTGGATCGTTGCTTTGACTTGAGTGGCAGAATATAAAACGATGGGCCAGGAAAAGTGCATTACCATAACGAAGGCAAACCTGAGCAGAGTATCCCTGGCCAAAAACGATGAAGCCCAAAACATGAGACAGTTTGTTGAGAGCGCAAGCAAGGTTTGATGGCAGGGTGGTCCAAAGATGCTAGTAGGGTCAGCGACATAGGCAGCATAGACAGTTTTGGTGCACAGAAAGCACAAGTGTTCGGACTAGGAACATGCTGTTCCGTTGATGCACATATTCGCATGAGAAGCAACTGTGTATTCGTGTTTGAACTACGCGTTCTGTACACGGCGACGAAGTTATGCTACCTTCGGTGACACCGATTGACTTTGGCTTGTGGAGAAGCTATCATTCAGGTTAGGCTGATCCTAAATATGTTCTTCGCAAAATCTTAGTTGTTATTTGTAGGAGCATTTATATAAGATCATTCGCAAATGTGTCATTACATTCCGAAAAAGTTTCATACAGCCCATTGGTGACATGTTTGGCGTCTCTGGGCTTTTCTTTGGGTCCGGTAACTTCACGATAGTAATCAATATGTTAAGGGAGTTTATGGTGGTCTTGTTATTTTGGAATACACAGCGCTAGTCGCAGATGATTCGCATGTCGAATCGATATTTGTGACCCCACTTGAACTTCGTAGATGACACCACCTCCCTTGCCAGCAGTTCTCACGAGTGTACAATTCGTGTAGCCAGTGTGGTAATTCCGTACGAGGACTGGATGAGCGCTTGCAAACACATACGGCTTTGCTCAACAACTGTCAGCATGTTGCCTTGCACTCGAAATTGTCTGTAATGAACGAATGGCATCAAAAGGCATGCGCAATTTCTCCTACTCAGAGCTTCAGCCGATGAATCTCCATTTTTGCATGTGGATTTGATGTGGCAAGGTACACAAATGAGAACCCTCCAGTGAGCTCTTGTGTCTTTCCCTACCTCGCTGATTCCTGAGGGGTAAGATTAAAAGTGCTCACAAGATGTCCTGGGCGACATGACTGCGAGCGTACTGACGGTATATATGTCACGAAAATGCGGGGAAAAAGTTGTACTGAACTGCTAACCGTAGTCAATTATCAGTACTTCAGGGTAGCCAAACTCGCTGAATAACCGTCACAATTTGGTGATCATGACCCTACCGTCAAGTTTATTTATGAGAAATACCTCAGGCCACTTGCTGTATGAGTCGACGGCAACAAAAACGGGGGGTGCCAGATGTGTACGCGTGACCATGGTTTGTTAGCTATCAGCAAAAATCTAACTTCTGCCTTCGGAGGTGAGTAGGAGGCAGTTGTGCCATTGTGAGCGTACATTGCTAATCCTTTCAGATGTTTGTTCAGAAAAGGACAATATAGCTGAGTGCAAGTACTTGCATTCAGTTTATTACAGCACAGGCATATGATTTACACAGTGTCACTGGTTGTAATACTCTATGAGAAAAAGACGACCATCCATTAGAAAGAGTGTGTTTTCTTTGATAGAAACGTCGCAGCTCGACCAATGTACATGGAGTTAGTCAGTTGGCTCGGTGGTGTCGGGTAACTTCCATGACTAAGGGACTGCAGTGTAGGGTCGCGGACAGTGTCTGAGGTAAAATTATCGTGAAGCGCATCGTTTGTAAAGAATGTGGTATCTGGTTCTGTTGTTATGGCTGCAATCCTTGTGTCTTCTGGGTATTGTTAATCGGAGTAGATGAGACGATACTGCATCTGCTTGGTCAAAAGTTGTAGTTGGTTGGTATGTAATATTGGGGTCATAGGGCAGCAGCCTAAGTGCTAAATGTCGCAGTGTTGCCGAGATAGACTAGTATTCACTCTCTAGAGAAGAAGGATGCTCCATCGGTCAGAATGGCAAAATGGTTGCTATAAAGAATCGCGCAAGGTCTCATCACCGTACAGATGATAAATAAGGCTTCTTTTCAATCTGGCAGTAATTCTTCTCGCTTGTTGTTAAATACTTAGTTGCATGAGATACGGCTTTTTGAGAGTCGTCAGGAGGGCCTTTAGATTTGACTGCCTGATCCCCAGGTTAGAAGAGCCCGTTGCAACAACAATGTCCCGAGATTGATCGAAGTGCACCAGTAACAAATTGGAAGATATCAACGACCTGATGCTGTCGAAAGCGACTTGTGTAGCGCCCAAAAAGATGACTACTATCTTTTATGTACAATTTCATGGCTGACCAATTGTACCCTAGTCCTTTTTGTTTTAATCTTCCTTACAACCGGCTCGTCTTGTAAGTTCCCGTGCTAACGTATTACTCCTATCTCGCTTCATTCGTCCACGTCTTATGTAGCCCAGCTGTGTCCAACTCCAATTGCCTTCTGACATCTGCGCTTGATTTCGTGCATTGTCTCGGACTAATATTTACTAGTTCTACAAATTGGTGACGCCGATTCGCACGCTCGAATTTAAACGTCGTTCGTCATTTGTATTTTTTGGTGTGTTCATTCCTTTTTCTCGATTACATACGTGTAGTTATTTGTTACTTGCCTAATTTTAGTAGTTTCGTCGTATTTTTGTTCATGCTTGATCTTCTCGATTGATAAATCGAAAGCGGCATCTGAGTCATTTCACAGCCTAGACATATTTCCTTTGGCTGTTCCAAGTTTCATGGACCACAGGCCCTAGGTTTGCTTTGCGTTATTCGAGATCAAAATAGAAAATAAGGGCATTCAAACGGACCGTTCGAGGTACGATCACTTTGTCCCACGCCTACCTTCCTCGGTTGTGACGCTGGTTGAGGACATTCTACTCTGCCCATAGAATGAAGCAAAGTATGGAACGATGAAACAAGCGATTTTAAAGGAGTTACTGCCCAGCGCACGGGCTCGATTAGAACAGCTCAATGGTCTCAAGCTGAGAGAGCGCAAGCCGTCGACGTTGTTCCGCGAAATTCAGCGCATCGCTGGTCTCTTTCGAGCGAAGAAGTGATAAAGGAGCTGTGGCTCGCACGTCTCCCAGAGCCATTACCGATAATGCTGTCCATGTTTCTAGAGGCGCCCCTGAAAGAACTAGCTACTAAAGCAGATGCTGCGTTCGAACGTCTCACGCAGTCACAAATTTGCTCCAAGTCCTTTGGCCGATCTGACCCTAAAGACGAGGGAATAGCGCTACTTCGCAGCAGGATAGTAGCAATGAAGACTTCGAAACTACTGTGGCACGCTCAGATGCTGAGCACGTTTTGAATACCGTTCATTGCGCCTCATCTGTACCTGCACCAAGTACGTCCCGTTCGACATGAAAGCACAACATTTTCTCTGCACGTTCTCAGTCAGATAATACCAGACCCGTTGAAGAATTATGTTGGTATCACCATCAATATGGTGGAAAGGCTAGACGTCGCACTCCCTGCATTATGCATGACTCAGTCGCTACAGGGAAAACGAGTAGTCCGCATACTAGCACGACCAACGCATCCATCAACGAGCGAATTAATCGCCTGTTTTACGTTAAATAGCAACGTTCTTCTATCACATTCCTCATCGACGCAGGAGCGGTAGTCAGCATCATCCATGAGAACGTGGATACCAAGCACTCAAAGCCCACACACAACCTGTGTGCAGTCAACGGTTCTCCGATAGCTTCATTCAGTCAACGCATGATGAACCTGGACCTCAATCTCCGCTGAGATTTTCAGTGGGTTTTTCTTGGTTGCGTATGTACCATCCGCAATTATCCGTATCGACTTCCTCCGACATTTTGGGTTGCTTGTTGATGCTGGTCGCCACAGACTTTTAGACGACTGTACTAAATTAGGGGTTGAAGGCGTTATTTCAGACGCCTCGACTATCAGCCCTGCTACTCGAATCGCCGATATACCTTCAGATTATGTGAACCTACTGCCTGAATACCTGCGACTGGTACGACCAGCTGCAAAGCTTCCTCCAGTCACGACAGAGGTCGCTCATCACATTGTCAAGAGCGGTCCGCCAACGAGTGCCCGATCAAGACGATTCCCTTCCGACAAGTTCTTTGCCGCAAGAGCTGAATTCGATCACATGCTTCAGCTCGATATCACGAGACCATCCAACAGCCCATGGGCGTCACCTCTCCATATGGTTCTGAAGAAGACCATGGGGGACTGGCGTCCTTGTGGCGAGTATCGTTCCCTAAACAATGTGACCATGCCTGATCGCCATTCCATTATATATATTGTAGATCTTACCGTCAGTCTGGTAGGTAAAAACGTTTTCAGTAAAATTGACTTGGTGCGCGCTTACAAGCAAATTTCGGTAGCTGAAGCGGACATC